CCCCCAGCCTGCGTGATTATCTTCGCTTCATGAGAGGGAAGGTGGTCTCGGGGGCTGGGCGGCCTGCTTCTGGTCCCGCAGTGGACACTGGCAGCAGCTGTGTGAGTCTAAACACAGCCCACGCTGAGGGAGGCCCCATACCTGCTGGTTGTACCCCCTCGCCCCCTTCCTCCCCCCACCTCTGCTCCTGTCCAGGGCAGAGTGGGGCCCCTACAGGCCCATTCCAGATGCGATAGTCTCAGCTGGCTGCCTGCCTCCCTCCGCCTCCCTCCGAGTGTGCAGGGCACACCTTATCTGCAGTGATCGGTCTCTGCTCAAGGTCACCTCCTTGGGTTGCTGGCTGGCTCGCTGCCCTGGCCCCGCATGGATAGGACAGTTCCCACCCCCCCCCCACCCCCAAAGCCCGCCCAGCAGCCTGGTCTGGGGGTTGGAATGGGCTCTGCCAGGCCAGGCTAGCCTGGCATGTACACGCCATGCCAGGACTTGAACTCAGAGCCGTGGCTCTCGTTCACCTTCCCTGTTTCAGGCTGGCGCTCTCCCACTTGAGCCACGCCTCCAATCTAAGCTTGGGTGTCTTCATGGGCCTGCAGTGTTCCCAGGGGACCGGCCCCAGGTCAGAGAGCCTCTCCGGCTGGCCACTGGCCCAAGCAAATCAGCAGAGGCGTCCTGAGGGTCTGTCTGTGGGTTCTCCATTCCTCCCACTGCACAGGGCTGCACCCCAACTTCCTCCCGTCCATCTGGCAAGAGATGCCACGGCTCCTGGACTCGGAGGAGGAGGCGGGGGTGGGGGGTGTGGAGAGCAGCGCTGACACTGCATCCTAGATGGGCCTGCCACCTGGACAGCCAGACCCCTCCCCGCACCCTGGGACCCTTGGCGACAGTGGCTCCCGCTCGAGGGTGACATTATTGAGGGCGGCTGCAGCTGGAGTTGCAGCAGGCTTGGCTGGTGGGGAGGGAGGAATGGAGGAAGGGCCAGTTACATGGTAGTCAGATCTGGGGTAATGAAGACCCTGTGTGGGGGGAGGGGGAGGGGACCCCCTCTGGCCGCGGCCATCTGTCATGCTAGGGTGACTGCATTCCAGGTGTAATGATTACTAAAGCCCCTTCTCCTCCTGGGCTGCTGCAGGTGCAGGGTCACCTTAGATAAAGCTGGCCTTGATCCTAAGTGCAGGGGTGACTGACAGAGCCTGGCGGGGGGGGGGGGAGGGGGCAGGGGGGGCGGCTCTGGTCTTACCCTCTGTGGAGCAAGGGGGGAACGTGGGTCTGTGCCCTGTGCTCTGGTGGCAGGGGCTTCGTGTGGGCTGAGGAGCCAGACCAGAGGCAGCCCAGGTGGCAGGGAGATCTGAGTGTGAGCAACCCGGGGTCCCCCGCCTGGCCCCCAACTCATGAGGGCATTGCTCTTACCTGAGTGTCTGTGCATACGTGTGTGTCTGTCTGTCTGTCTGTCGTCTGTCTGTGTGAGTTCAGGGCCTAGGTGCTGTCTCTTAGTTTCCTCTCTCTCGAGGCTGGTGCTCTACCATCACTTGCCCATCCTTCCTCTTTTTGCTGATTAATTGGAGATGAGTCTCCGGGCTGGCTTCCATCCTCAGAATCAGCTTCCTGAATGCTGGGGTGATGGATCGCATAGACTACCCTCCACACCCAGCTCTCAAACTTTTGTTGAACCCTAGTTCCCAGCTGTGTGACATTTGGGGCAAGTGAATGACTGAATGACAGGTGTTAATCTCACGGGATTAGAGGGAATGCTCAGTACCGCCGCCCAGCCAGCGTTTCCATGCTTCCCTACCCTAACATGATCTGCTCCAGGGCCCAACCCCAGTCCTCGCAGGGGGCGTGGGAGAACTGAAGTCTCCACAAGCCTGTTTCAGTCCTCAGTTCCACGTTCTGGACCGCATGTGCTGGTTTAGCTACTGAATAGTGTGAAGCAGCGACATGGTGCTTCCTTGTCTCTAAAAGATCAACTATCCCTCCTCCCCTTCCCCCCTTCCCCACAGCTGCCACCCATCAGGGAGATCTTGCCTTGAAGTTCAGCTCCCCCCCCTCATTCTCAGCCCCTCAGCCTTGCTGTTGAGTGCAGGCCTGGTAGCTCATGCCTGTCATCCCATCTACTCAGGAGGCTGAGACCTGAGGATTGAGGTTCGAAGCCAGCACAGACAGGAAAGTCCTTGTGACTCTTATTTCTGAAAAGCTACTGAGAAAAAGCCGGAAGTGGTGCTGTGGCTCAAGTGGTAAAGCACTAGCCTGAGCACAAAGAGGCTCAGGGTTAGTGCCCAGGCCCAGAGTTCAAGCCCCAGGACCAACCAAAACAACAACAACAACAACAACAACCAGAAATAGGGCATGGCTCAAGTGGTAGGGCACCAGCTGAGCGAATGTGAGCCCGAGTTTGAACAAAAAACACTTTTAATTCCATCATCGAATACACTGTTCTTATTTTCCTAGTTGTTCCAACAGCATTTATAACTTTCCATTTTGACCCAAGAACTCATCAGAGATCCATCAAAACATTTTATGTCTCTTTAACCCAGGCCAGGTACCCTCACTTTCTTCTTGGTCACCGGCAACACCTCCATTTGCTTAAGAATCTAGATGGTGGTTGTGGTCCCAGCACAGTAGCTCATGCCTGCAATCCCAGCTACTAGGGAAGCAAACATTGAGAGGATCTTATTTGAGACAAAGTTAATGGGACCTCCATCTCCAGGAACAGAACAAGCTGGGCCTGGCGTTGAATGAATAGGGAGACAACACGTAGGAGAATCATGGACCAGCTCCCCCCCCACACAAAAAATTGGAGATACTATCTGAGAAATAACTGAAAAGCAAAAGAGGGGCAGGGGTCGTGGCCCAAGTGGTAGGGCACCTGCTAGCAAGCGTGCGCATGTGAGTTGAAACCCTTGTACTGCCAAGAAAAAAAGGAAGAAAGAAAAAGTCCAGGGCAGTTGCAATGTAGCCTTTGAGTTTATCTGCTGGCTCCTTCCAGGGCACCCCAGGGAACAAGTCCCATCCAGTAACCACCTTGTTCTCTGTGTTCTTTGATTCTGGAGGCCTCCGCCCTCCACCCTGGGGGCTGCGGCAGCGCCCTGGCAGTGGCTTTGGGGCCTGCAGGTTGGCTTACTGCCAGGGCTGTGCCCAGCCCAGCCCCGATGGCGAGCACACCCGGCCTGGACGATTTTCAGAAAGCTCCTGGGGAAACCGCACCAGAGGACAGAGACAGAGCCGCTCCCCGACTCTGAGTCACCGCTGGGTACCTGGCTGGCTGGGCCGTGGTTGGTCCCCGGGGCGTGTGGGGCCTCGGAGCCCCACAGGAAGTGGGGATGTGGGAGGCACACATGAGGAGCCCTGCGAGGAAACCAGCTGGCACTGCTGTCACGTTCTGCTCAGTCTCTGCCCTGCGACCAGCCCAAGAGCTCCCAACTCCTGTGCTTGTGTGCCCAGTGCCACTGCACCCGCTGGTCTCCCGCGGGATAGCAGGCAGGAGGGTGACCAGGAGGCCCACTCCGCGCTTTCCCCTGCGGCCGCCCGAGGGAACCTGCGCCCTGCGGGAGCCCTGCCCGCTGCAGAGATTGGTGCAGAGCAGCCGGGTCCTGGGACCTGGTAGGGAAGGACAAACCACAAACAGGGGGTTCCAGCCCGAAGTCCTAGCCAGGAGTAGAGAGGAGAAAAGCCCCAGATCACCCCAGTTCCACCAGACTCACCCCACTACGGGGGGGGGGGGGAGAGCTTTGTTCTGCTTTAACTCCTGGGCCAGTAGACCTGGGGAAGCAGGTCTCTCCCCCCTCCCTTCCCTCCTCTCCTCCTCCACCCCTCCCTCCCTCTCTTCCCCTTCCTCCCTCTCCCCTCCTCCCTGCTTCCCTCCCCCTGCTTCCCTCCTCCCTCAGCTTGCCTTTCCTCCCTCTCCCTCCCCTCCCTCCCTTCTCCTTCCCTCCCCCCTCCCTGCTTCTCTCCTCCCTTCCTCTCCCCCTCCCCCCTTCTCCCTCTGGCTCAGTCCATTGGCCCACAGGGCCATCCCTGGCCTCTGTGTTCCTGGTGTCCTGTTTCCCCCCCTTTCCCTCCCCACTCCCCTCCCTCCCCCGCCTCTATGCTTTTTTCTTTACCCTCCCTTTATTTGGGATTTACAGAAAAGTTGCCAAGAGGTTTTAGAGTTCTCCTCTCAGGTCACGAGCCATAACAGCATAAATTCCCACAGCCCATCCGCCCAGCTAAGTCTAGCGAGCCACCTCACCATGCACCAAGCCTCCATCCAGCTTTATTTGGGTCTCAGGCCTGCAAACACCTCCTGTGGATCCAGGAGCCAATCCAGGGAACCCCACCCCAAGGCCCCCCTCCCTCCCCAGCTCCTCTCCCCCCTCCCAGTCACAAGTCTCAGCTTCCCCTTCCCCTAGTGAATCTGTAATGTGAAACTGACAGGCTTGGTGATGCTGGAGATGGTGGTGGTGAAGATGTGGATGTGATCGTGATGGGGGTGGTGACAGCAATGGTGGGGGTGATCATGGAGGTGGGGTGGGGTGGTGCTGGGGTGATAGGAGTTGGCAGTGACGGTGGTGGGCAATGCTGATGGCATGGAGCTGATGCCGGTGGTGGTGATGGAGATGTAGTGATGGGGATGATGGAGGAGGAGGTGGCCGTGAAGGGCGAAGCAGGAGGAGAGGGAAAGAGGGCTCACATCCAGGAATTCTCTCACCTGGCCCTGTTTTCTTCCCCGTTGCCCAGAACCAACGGGGAAGTGCAGGGACAGGGAGGCGCTCAGAATGGGGGGTGGAGCTGGTCCTTCCCGCTCCCTCACCCATCGTGGGGAGCTCGGGGCCGGGTGCCCCGACACCCCCACCCCAGGCGGCCTCGCTGGCCCCGGACCGGGCGGGCGGAGCTGGGGCGCGGCCCCGCCCCGGCCCCGGCCTATAAGCCCGGGAGGTGAGAGCCCAGCCGTGCTCCCGGCCCGCGTCCGCGCGCCCCTGTCCTGCGCCCGGTCCCGCGCGCCCGCGCCCGGTCCCGCGCGCCCCGCGCCCCGCCCCACGCGCCCCTGTCCCGCATGGCCTGGAACACCGACCTCCGCTGGCGGCTGCCGGCCGTCTGCCTGGCGCTGCAGGCGGCCACGCTGGTGCTCTTCGGTGTGTTCGCGCGCTACGACGCGGACGCCGACGCGCGCTGGTGGGGCGCCCGGAGCCCCGGGAACGGCTCCCGCGACCTGGACAACGAGTTCTACTACCGCTACCCGAGTGAGTCACCAGCCCGGGGCGCACAGGGCGCGGGGAGGCGCAGCCCGCTCCCATCCTGGCCGTCCCTGGCCGTCCCCGCCACACCACCTCCCGCGGCCCGGGCCTCCTCCCCGGGAAGACCCTGGGGAAGACCCCGGCACGCACACGCACCCGCCCGCACCGCCTCACACACTCTTGCTTGACTTTCTTCCTTTCTTTTTTTGCTCAAGGCTGGTGCTCTACCACTTGAGCCACACCTCCACTTCCAGCTTTGGGTTGGTTCAGGGGAGATAAGAGTCCCAGAGAGGGGCTGGGAAGGTGGCTCAGTGGTAGAGCGCTTGCCTTGCATGCATGAGGCCCTGGGTTCGATTCCTCAGCACCACATAAGCAAAAAGAAAGAAGCCGGAAGTGGCGCTGTGGCTCAAGTGGTAGAGCGCTAGCCTTGAGCTGAAGAGCTGAGGGACAGCATCCAGGCCCAGAGTTCAGACCCATGACCAGAGCCCCCCCCCCCAAAAAAAAAATAGAGTCCCAGAGAGAGTTTCCTGCCCCTGGCTAGCTTCAAAGTGTGATCCTCAGATCTCAGCCTCCTGGGTAGCTAGGATGACAGGTGTGAGCCAAGGGGATGTTCTGTCAGTGGCTTGCAGGTCTCACTAGATACACAGGCACTGGTCCTGGTAGGGAGGCTGTGGTAATCCCCCTTCTCTAGGCTTGGGGAGAGCCCTGGAGCCTTCCCTGCCCTGTCTGGTACCCAGGGCTGAGAGTGTGGCCTTGGGATGTGGGGCTGGGCTGCAGCCCCGCTGGGTAGCGTCTCCCGTGCGGACTCCCTAAGCCAACCTGTGCTGACGGTGTGCAGAACTCTGGCACGGTGCTGGGTCTGAGTCACTCACTTCCTAACCCAGCATCTGATCGAAGCACACGAAGCATGGTTGCCTTTCCATGCTCACCATCTGGGAACCAGAAGGTCGGGTCCAAGGTCACCCCCCCACACAGGGGACTCCTTCCATGCCCTGGGCTTTCTGAGCTCCCTGAGCTGCTGGTGCCCCAGGGGTCATGACCTGAAGCGCAGCTCCAACAGCCGCCGTGCCACCAGGCGTCTCCTCCCTGTCCCGTTCTCTTCCTCCAGAACTAGTTTCCCTCAGGTCCCCAAACAACCACACACAGGCAGAACTGCGTGGAGGAAGGTGGGATTTGGGGGCTGTGTTTGTATGTGTAGGGCTCCTGGGCTGACTTGGCTCTGTGCTTGTTAGACAGGCCTTCCCCACCACGATCCTCCTCATCTCAGCCTCCTCTGTGATAGGGATGGGGGCGATGAAAGGCCCTAGAGGCCCCGACTATAGAGGGAAGAGGAAGTTAATTCTTACTGCCCCTTACCAGCAGGAACGTGTGGGTACCAATCAAGGAAGGGCACAGGAAGTGCTGTGCACTCACGCCCCCTAGTGGAGCCTCTGGCGATGGGTAGCCAGGTTGCCCTCCTGTTGTGCAGCTCCGGGCTGGGGGTCAGGGAGGCGGCCACGGAAGCCCCCGGCATGGAGGTGGGTGACGGTCAACTTCCACCGACCCTCAGTGAGTTCATCAGCTCACCATGAGGCATCCTGTTGGTCCTGAAGGGGAAAAGAGAAGTAGGCGCTCACCACTGAGTGATCACTGAAGAGCCCGGCGGGGGCTTTGACGGGGGTCCCCCTTGGAGTGCACCCCCAGAGTCTCTGCTCACACACTACTGAGGGGGGGGGCAGTCTGACCAGAGGGCCAGATCACATCCTTTGCGGAAGGTCTTTGGCGTGCATCTTTGCTGTCGATCCTGGGCCAACCTTTTTAGGCAGCATGCAGACTCACACAAGAAATGAAAATTAACTCACCGGTACCTTTCATGCTAAGAGTAGGACCTGCTGAGAAGCGGAAGAGAAAGGGCGGTGTCCAGGCAGAGGGAGGCTGGCATCTGTGTACTGGCGAGCAGGGAGAGAGAAAAGGACAGTGTCCAGAGAGGGACAAAGATGGAGGGCAACAGGGGGCGGGCAGCTGGGGGCAGAAGGGACAGCGGGGAGGAGGGGGAGGAGGCACAGGATGCACCTGCTCTGGGGCCACTGGGAGACCAAAGGCAGCGCCCTCTCCCCTGCCCTTTGGCTCCACCTGCCCCTCCGGCACTGCCCTGTGCCACGGGGCAGTGGCTCCTCCTCTTTGAAAAGCCAGGCCTCTTTCCCTAGGGGATCCCTCCCCCACTTGTTGGTCACGGCCCCTGGCGTCCACACGCAGACACGTCTGCTCATCTCTCCAGTCCCACATTCCAACCCACAGGTGTCTGCACCTGTCCAGCCTCCAGGAGCCCCTCCTGCCCCCCCCCCAGCCAGGCACAGCGGTCCCATCCCCTGGGGGCATCTCAAGGTCGCCAAGGCCAGGCCAGGATCCAGCTCCTCCCTCCCACCTGCATTTTCCCAGGCCCGGTGATTCTGCCCGTGCAGCCTCACTGCTTCTAGAACTCTCATCTGGAGGCGTCACCTCCCACTCCACAGTCTGTCACCCAGCAGTTCTTCCCGGAATAACCAGAATACCTTTTACGGTGCTTTACATACACGAGCTCCATTTCCAACCATCGCTGGCCATGTGGGGCCGTGGCACAGGATGCTGCGGGACATCAGCCGGCCTTGCGTCCCTGACAGACCCGAGCCCGCGCGGCTCCTGTGCCTCCGCTACAACCGAGCCACGGGGCCAGGAGCCCGTGCTGCCTGGAGCCAACAGCCTGTGCCCCGGCCCACGGCATGCCGGGTTCCGGCCTGTGCCCCCGGCTCTCAGCATGCTGGGGTCTAGCCTGCTGCAGTGGGTCCCGGGGTCTGCCAGCCTGTGGAGGGAGCACTGGATGGGGGCGGCGCAGGCGCTCCTGACCCCGCTGGCCCCTGATCCGTCCCAGCCTGCGGGGCTGGGGTGAGCAGAGGCCTGCTCCAGGCCCAGACCCCCGCCTGCTGTCCCCACAGGCTTCCAGGACGTGCACGTCATGGTCTTCGTGGGCTTCGGCTTCCTCATGACCTTCCTGCAGCGCTACGGGTTCAGCGCCCTGGGCTTCAACTTCCTGCTGGCGGCCTTCGGCATCCAGTGGGCGCTGCTGATGCAGGGCTGGTTCCACTCCTTCAAAGATGGCCACATCCTGCTGGGCGTGGAGAAGTGAGAGGAAGGGGGACCTGGGCGGGGCTGGGAGGAGGTGGGCGGGGCCGCGGCTGGGGGCGGGGCCGCAGGCGGGGTCTGAATGGTGGAGTGGGGGCTTTGTGGTGGGCGTGGCCTTGTGTGAGGCCTGGCACTGGGGCAGGGCCTGAAGGGAGGATTAGCATACCCCAGGGTGGGGCTTGTGTGGTGGGTGGGGCCTTGCGTGGGCGTGGCACTGGGGCAGGCCCTCAAGGGTGAATTAGCATGCCCTGGGCGGGGCTTGCCTGTGGGCGGGGTCTTTAGTAGGGTAGGACCCTGAGCAGGACACTGGGAGGAGGTGGAAGGCGGGGCCTGGATGGATCTGAGGAGTCTCCTGGCCCCTTCTACCTCTGGGTCGGTTTTGAACTTCCATTCTCACATGGCAGCCTCCTGAATAGCCAGAATTACAGGTTTGAGCTGCTGGATCCATCCCCACTTCTTGTTTTGTTTTGCCTTGTTTTTGTTTGTTGGGCATGGCTCATGAAACCCTGGGCCTGGGCGCTGTCCCTCAGCTCTTCAGCTCAAGGCGAGCGCTCTACCACTTGAGCCACAGCGCCACTTCTGGTTTTCTGGTGGTTTATTGGAGATAAGTGTCTCACAGATTTTCCTACCTGAGCTGGCTTTGAACCATGATCCTCAGATCTCAAGTTCCTGAGTAGCTAGGATGACAAGCAGGAGCCACCAGCTCCCAGCTCCTCCCCACTTCTTAAAACAATCTCAGTAGGTCTCATTGTTCGTTTCTCCCCGTGCTTATAAACTGCTTTGACTGCATATCCTCATTCACCCGCTTCACTAATTAACCGGCATCCAGCCCCAACAGAGCCTGGTGCACTTTCCCTGTGCCGTGTAACAAGGGCACTCTGGCATTCCAGACGTACGTGTTTTTCTATGAATGACCCTTTCGTGTATAGAACTCTTGCTAGTTCCGTGGCTCAGCCCTGGGCGCCTGCCTGTCTCCCTTACCCCAGCCTCATCAATGCGGACTTCTGCGTGGCCTCTGTCTGCGTGGCCTTTGGGGCAGTCCTGGGCAAAGTAAGCCCCGTCCAGTTACTCATCATGACGTTTGTGCAAGTGACACTGTTCTCGGTGAATGAGTTCATGCTTCTCAACCTGTTGTTGGTGAGTGGGACTCCCACTGGTGGGGACACTAGGAGGTGGAGGATTGGGGACACAGGATGGGCAGGCGGGGGTGTGGTCCGGGCTGTGTGCAGGCCGCCTGGGCAGGGTGGTGTTGGCGAGGTTGTGTGAAATGGGAGAAAGGAGACACAGGGAAGAGACTGGCTGGGAATGAAGATGAGGAGGCCAGGGACCGGCTGTTGCGAGTGGCCCTGTGACTGGCGGAGTCCCTCTCCACGCTGGGCTCCCCATCTGGGAGCCATGCCCAGTGCCGTGGGGTGGCTGAGGGAGCTGGCATTGAGCTTTACCACTTGGGCTCAGAGATGCCCCTTCCCCCACCCACATGGTCCTGAGGAACCTGAGGACTCAGAACCAGCTGCGTGTGGATGTGTGTGTGTGAGTGTGTGTTAGTGTGTGAGTGCACGCGTGTGTGTGTGAGTGTGTGTGTGAGGGACTTGACGGCGATGGATGAGAAGCGAGGGGGAGACTGCAGACTCCCCCACTTCCTGTCCCTCAGGTGAAGGACGCGGGAGGCTCCATGACCATCCACACGTTCGGCGCCTACTTTGGGCTCACGGTGACCTGGATCCTCTACCGCCGCAACCTAGAGCAGAGCAAGCGGCGGCAGACTTCCGTGTACCACTCCGACCTCTTTGCCATGATTGGTGAGAGCTGGGGAGGGGAAAGCGGGGGGGGGGGGGGGCACCGTCCCCTCCCCCGTTCCCGGCCGGCGGGCATCTACCAGTTGCTTTTGAGCGGGGTGGCAGGGGGAGATTGCCTGTTATGGGTCCCTGTGCTGGGCTGGGATGAGCGTGCCTTCCCTCTCCCTGGGTCCCTTCACTGGGGGGGGGGGGGGGGCATCTGGACCAGGCCCCAGCGGTGGGGTCCACAGCAGTGCTTGGCACTCAGCCCTACCCTTGGTGAGCAGGAGGGGTGAGGGAGGGCGGTGCCTTCAGATAATCCCCTGGTTGGGGGGGAGCACCCTCAGCCCGTTGGGCAGGAACTTGGCCTGTACCCCAGGGGCCCCCAGCGCCAGGTTCCCATCCCGAGCGCCCCTCGGTCTCTCCCAGGCACTCTGTTCCTGTGGATGTACTGGCCCAGCTTCAACTCGGCCGTGTCCTACCACGGGGACGCCCAGCACCGCGCCGCCCTCAACACCTACTGCTCCCTGGCGGCCAGCGTGCTGGCCGCGGTGGCCGTGTCCAGCGCGGTGCACAGGAAGGGCAGGCTGGACATGGTGAGCAGAGGGCGGTGTGGGGGCAGCTCCCGCACGCTCCACCACTCTGAGATGAGAGTCTCCACGCGGCACGCGCCTGGAGTCCCCGTGGGGTCCCCGTGGGGTCCCTGCACCACCTTGCACACGGTGCAAGCCCAAAGCAAGCTGGGGGGGGGAGCTGAGCTGAGCCCCCCCCCCCGCCCAGGTCCACATCCAGAACGCCACGCTGGCCGGCGGCGTGGGCGTGGGCACCGCGGCCGAGATGATGCTCATGCCCTACGGGGCCCTCCTCGTGGGCGGCCTCTGCGGCGGCCTCTCCACGCTGGGCTTCGAGTTCCTGACGGTGAGGGCCGGCCCGAGTCTCCGGGCTCCTGGAAGGGGGGGGTGCTGGGAGCCTGGGCGCCGTGTCCGGGGGGGGGGGGGGGCCCCGGTGTTCACCGCCGCTCCACGCCCTCCCCAGCCGTTCCTCGAGTCGCGGCTGCGCATCCAGGACACGTGTGGCATCCACAACCTGCACGGCATCCCGGGCATCGTGGGGGCCATCGTGGGGGCCGTGACCGCGGCCTGTGCCACGCCCGACGTGTACGGGAAAGCGGGGTAAGGGTGGACGGGGTGGGAGGGGGTCCTCCCTCCTCCTCCCTCCTCCTCTTCCCTCCCCTGTGGGTCCTCCTCAGTCCAGATCACAGCCCTCCCTCTGTCCCTCCGCCCGCCATCTTCCTCCTGCCCCAGAGTGGTGGAGCCTCTGCTCTGCCCAGACCCCACTGTGTGGGGCGGGGGGGGGGGGTGGCAGAGGCTGGGAACCCCCTGGGAGGGGTCAGGACGGGGGCTGGCTCCGCAGGCCTGACCTGCCGCTGTCTCCACCCAGGCTTGTCCATTCCTTTGACTTTGAAGGTTTAAAGCAGAACTGGACGGCGAAGACACAGGGAAAGTTCCAGATATTTGGGCTCCTCCTGACTTTGGCCATGGCCCTGGTGGGCGGCAGCGTCATGGGTGAGCAGCAGAGAAGCGGGGGGCGGCGTCTGCGGGGCTCCCCTGGGTGCACCACAGGGGCAGCCCAGCGCCCAGGACTCCCCATCCCTGTGCTTTGGCTTCTCTGGTGACACCTACTGTCTGCAGGGCTCATTCTAAGATTACCTTTCTGGGGACAAGCTGCGGATGAGAACTGCTTTGAGGACAGCGTCTACTGGGAGGTGAGTTCTAGAAACTTCTTCTGCACAAAGTTAACTGTGCCCACCTCCCCACCATCATCCACCCGGCCAGCGATGCACCCGCTTGTCTGCTGTGGATTTAAGCCCCTCCTTTTCCCCTGGACCCCAGGACCTTATCACCTTCTTTAGTTATAAAAGGACTCAAAGGTTATTAAAGTTAGAGAAAAGTATAAAGTCTCATTGCAAGAGGATGAGGTGCAGCTCAGTAGTAGAGCATGTGTCCAAGGCCCTGAGTTCAAGATCCAACACCACAGCCAAAATAGGAAGGGAGGGAGGGAGGGAGGGACGGTGGGAAGGAGGGAGGGAAGGAGGGAAGGGAAAGAAGGAAGAAAACGCCCATCACCCAAATTCAAACACTTAATGTTTGTGGTACATTTTCTGTCTTTTTCTCTGCCTACACAGCTTTTTCTTAGCTCTTTCTTTTTACCTCCGTAGCCTAAGATTGGCCCAGGGCTCTGACATCTTTAATAAACTCTTCTTTCGGAGCACAGTTCTTTTCCTCCTACCGGTAAAGTCGGCACGGGAGCTACCCAGACACCCACGTGGGTTTGCTTAGCACTGGCCAACAGTCAGAACTGTTAGCGGTTCCCATTCCTGCTTCTGTTTCCAGCTCCATCCTTCCCTCCAAGTTCACACCGTGGCTCCCACGTGTGGTTTAGAGCAGTAAAGTTCTGCAGGGACAGAGGCCGGCCGGAGCCTCGGGCAGTCCCTGCTCACCGGAGGATGGAGCTCGGGACAGATGACCCCGGGAGGCCACCGAGAGGCCAAGGCCGGGCTCAGCTGCCCAGCCTCTGTTCCCCATCCCATGCTTGGACCTGTCCACAGCTCCACAGCTGCCTCTCACGCCTCAGCTTCCAAAACTGGGTTCAGGGCTGGGAAGGTGGCTCAGGGGTAGAGTGCTTGCCTTCTGGGTTTGATTCCTCAGCACCACATAAGCAGAAAAAGCCTGAAGTGGTGCTGTGGCTCAAGTGGTAGAGCGCTAGCCTTGCCCTGACCCAGAGTTCAGGCTCCAAGTCCAACAAAAAAAAAAACAACAACCAACAACTGGGTTCAGCACCCACCTCCAAACCCCCTCCCCCCACCCCCACTCCCCCCCCCCCCAGCCTGCTGATAAGACTCCAGAGTCTGGTTCTTGCTGGATCCCAGCACCTGGATCAGCGATGTGTGCTCTGACCACAAGGGGGCGCTAACCGCCCGCCGTTTGTAGCTCCTGGCCTTGCAGCCCAAGGGGGGACGGGGCGGGGGGGGGGGGGTGGGGGGGGGTGGTGGCAGTCAGTCCCGCCTGGGACTGGCCCAGCGGCCTCTTCTCTCCACAGATGGAAGAAGAGAAGAGCAGGGCCTTCCCGGAGGACACCACCCTCAAGCCCCCGGCACCTACAGGACCCTCGGGACCTTCAGCATCCCTAGGACCCTCGGCATCCTGACCCGAGCCGGGGAGCAGCAGGTGAGCCCTGTGGGTGGGTGACTGGGCTGGCTGTCCCGGTGGGGGTCGGGGTCTCTAAATCCCACCCTGCAGCTTCCTTCTCTGGAGATGCCACGCGGATGGGCCTGGCCACTCCGTGGACCAGTTCAGGCCAGACTCGCTCCTTTTCCCTTTTTTCCCTCAGTGGGTGCTCACTCAGGGGTCCCCGAGCCAGTGCTTGTGAGATCTCCAGGGCCTCTGGTCTTGAACTTGAGATCTTCCTGCCCCAGCCACCGGAGAGCTGGAATTACAGGCCCATACCACAGTGCTCAGCCTCTCTCTCTCTTTTTATAGACAGGGAAATCAAGGCTCAGGGAGAGGCTGGGGAATCCCCGAGGCCACCCAGAGGGCGCGTGGAGTGACCGGTGTCTTTCCAGGCCACTGGTCTTGTTTTTAGAGCTTTTTGACTTGCTTGGAGACCAGTGCTCGCGGATCTCGAGGTCTGGGAGCCAAGGTGGGGTGCCGTGCGTGGCAGGGGAAAGATTGGGGTTTTAGGCAGTAGAACTTCCAGGCTGTGCCCCCTGTTCTGTGAGGTAGCATCTGGCTCATCCGAAGCAGAAAATGAGGCAGGCATCAGTGTAGACCCCGCCTCCCTCCCTGCAGGCCCCACACCCTGTCCCTGGCATTGGAAGGAACTTGTTCGCTTGTTCTCTTCCCCTAGGCGCGGTGTGGCCTGCAGGCCTGTCCCCCCACACACACCCAGGAGGCTGAGGATGGAGGAAGAGGCGGGTCCTCAAGGGAAGGACTGCCAGCCTGGGGGCGTGGTGGCCTGGTCCTGCACCGGAGCAGGGATAGAGTGGGGCCTGGGCCTCAGGGTGGAGGAGGCCTCTTAGCTGTCGACCACCCTCCCCTGCTCACCCCCAGCCAGCACCCCAGGCTCCCTGAGGCCCCAGGCCTCGACGCCATGTAGGAGACATCCTGTGAATAAATGGAGATGATCTTTCTAGAATGGTGTGGATGGATGCGTCTTTGGGGCTGCCTGGGGCTGCCTGGCCCTCACCTGGGGTGAGAAGTCCAGCCTGGGGGGAGGGGCCAGCGGGCTGGCGCTGGGCTGGGCTCTTTCCTTGAGGAGAGTGCCCTGTGGTGCCCTCCTCTCCTCCTGGGCCTGCTCTGGGCACACCAGCAGTTAGGGGGGAGGGGGACAGGGGAGGGATGGAGGGAAGGCACCATCTCCCTCAGCCTGGCCCTCCCTCCCTGCCAAACTAGCAGGTACAGTGTGGGTGACTTTCAGGTGTCCGGTGCTGGGCACAGGTCAGGGTCACAGTCGGGGGTGGGGGGTGGGGAGCTGGCACGGGGGGGGCACTCTGAACTTGGGCAGGTGTGTGGTTAGAGAGCCAGTGCTGACCAGGTGGCTTCCCAGAGCAGGGTCTTCAGAGCAGGGCTCTGGAGGCTGAATAGGAGTTTACCAGATAGAGGGCAAAGGTTTGCACCAGGAAGAGCAGTGGGCCGGGAGGAGACGGCAGAAAGAGGCGTTCAATGGAACAAAGGCTCCTGGGAAGGAGGGGAGGGTAAGGGAAAAAAGCAGGGGTCTCTCTCCTGCCTTCAACTCCACCCTACAGATGTGTGCATACAGACATGTGTGCACACATACACATGCACACGCATGCACGCACACGTGCATGCACACACACGGCCTGGCTGCTCTTCACAGAGCGGGGGAGGGGGAGGGAGCTGAAATGGAACCTATTCATGTTCTGCCATGTAATGCCGCTCATTTTCCACGCTGGGTAAAGACAAAAACCCTTTACAACCTGTTTCTGGAACTTGTCAGCAGCTGCGGGAAGAGCATGTTAATTAAACGTGCGCAAAGGCGGAGGCAGGGGCCGAGGTTCTAATTGGACAGTTTGCTTCGTGGGATTGAAAAACATTGTGACAAAGGAGGAGGTGCACAGCACTCCGCAGGGGTGCGGGGTGGAAAGGAGGGCAGGGGTGTGGTGCGGAGAGGAGGGGGCAGGGGCACAGGGTGGCGAGGAGGGCATGGGGCAGTGTGGAGAGGAGGGAGCAGGGGTGCAGTGTGGAGAGGAGGGAGCAGGGGTGCAGTGTGCAGGAGCAGGGGTGTAATGTGGAGAGAACAGGGGCTCAGGGTGGCGAGGAGGAGCAGGGGTGCAGTGTGGAGAGGAGGGGGCAGGGGGGCAGTGTGTGGAGGAGGGGCAGGGGTTCAGTGTGGAGGGGAGGGGGCAGGGGGGCAGTGTGTGGAGGAGGGGCAGGGGTTCAGTGTGGAGGGGAGGGGGCAGGGGGGCAGTGTGTGGAGGAGGGGCAGGGGTGCAGTGTGGACAGGGCAGGGGTGCAGTGTGGAGGGGGCAGGGGTGCAGTGTGGAGAGGAGGCAGCAGGGGTGCAGTGTGGAGAGGAGGGGCAGGGGGCAGTGTGGAGGGGGCAGGGTGCAGTGTGGAGAGGAGGGGCAGGGATGCAGTATGGACAGGGCAGGGGTGCAGTGTGGAGAGGAAGGCACAGGGTGGCAAGGAGGGGGCAGGGGTGCAGTGTGGAGGGAAGGGGATGGGGCACAATGTGGAGGGGAGGGGCAGGGGTGCAGTGTGGAGAGGAGGGGAAAAGGGTGCAGTGTAGAGGGGAGGGGGCAGGGGGCAGTGTGGAGGGGGCAGGGGTGCAGTGTAGAGGGGAGGGGGCAGGGGGCAGTGTGGAGGGGGCAGTGTGGAGGGGGCAGTGTGGAGGGGAGGGGTGCAGTGTGGAGGGGAGGGGTGCAGTGTGGAGGGGGCAGGGGGCAGTGTGGAGGGGAAGGGGCAGTGTGGAGGGGGCAGGGGGCAGTGTGGAGGGGGCAGGGGGCAGTGTGGAGGGGAGGGGGCAGGGGGGCAGTGTGGAGGGGGCAGGGGTGCAGTGTGGAGGGGAGGGGGCAGGGGGCAGTGTGGAGGGGAGGGGCAGAGGTGCAGTGTGGAGGGGAGAGGGCAGGGGGCAGTGTGGAGGGGGCAGGGGGCAGTGTGGAGGGGGCAGGGGGCAGTGTGGAGGGGAGGCGGCAGGGGGCAGTGTGGAGGGGGCAGGGGTGCAGTGTGGAGAGGAGGGGGCAGTGTGGAGGGGAGGGGGCAGTGTGGAGGGGGCAGGGGGCAGTGTGGAGGGGAGGGGGCAGGGGGCAGTGTGGAGGGGAGGGGGCAGGGGGCAGTGTGTGGAGGGGGCAGGGGGCAGTGTGGAGGGGGCAGGGGGCAGTGTGGAGGGGAGGGGGCAGTGTGGAGGGGAGGGGGCAGTGTGGAGGGGGCAGGGGGCAGTGTGGAGGGGAGGGGGCAGGGGGCAGTGTGGAGGGGAGGGGGCAGGGGGCAGTGTGTGGAGGGGGCAGGGGGCAGTGTGGAGGGGGCAGGGGGCAGTGTGGAGGGGAGGGGGCAGGGGGCAGTGTGGAGGGGAGGGGGCAGGGGGCAGTGTGGAGGGGGCAGGGGGCAGTGTGGAGGGGAGGCAGCAGGGGGGCAGTGTGGAGGGGGCAGGGGGCAGGGGGCAGTGTGGAGGGGGCAGGGGGCAGTGTGGAGGGGGCAGGGGGCAGTGTGGAGGGGAGGGGGCAGGGGGCAGTGTGTGGAGTGGGCAGGGGGCAGTGTGGAGGGGGCAGGGGGCAGTGTGGAGGGGAGGGGGCAGGGGGCAGTGTGGAGGGGAGGGGGCAGGGGGCAGTGTGGAGGGGGCAGGGGGCAGTGTGGAGGGGAGGCAGCAGGGGGGCAGTGTGGAGGGGGCAGGGGGCAGGGGGCAGTGTGGAGGGGGCAGGGGGCAGTGTGGAGGGGGGCAGGGTGCAGTGTGGAGAGGAGGGGCAGGGGGCAGTGTGGAGGGGGCAGGGGGCAGTGTGGAGGGGAGGGGTGCAGTGTGGAGGGGGCAGGGGGCAGTGTGGAGGGGGCAGGGGGCAGTGTGGAGGGGAGGGGGCAGGGGGCAGTGTGTGGAGGGGGCAGGGGGCAGTGTGGAGGGGAGGGGGCAGGGGGCAGTGTGGAGGGGGCAGGGGGCAGTGTGGAGGGGAGGGGGCAGGGGGCAGTGTGGAGGGGAGGGGGCAGGGGGCAGTGTGGAGGGGGCAGGGGGCAGTGTGGAGGGGGCAGGGGGCAGTGTGGAGGGGAGGGGGCAGGGGGCAGTGTGGAGGGGAGGGGGCAGGGGGCAGTGTGGAGGGGAGGGGGCAGGGGGCAGTGTGGAGGGGAGGGGGCAGTGTGGAGGGGGCAGGGGGCAGTGTGGAGGGGGCAGGGGTGCAGTGTGGAGGGGAGGGGGCAGGGGGCAGTGTGGAGGGGAGGGGGCAGGGGGCAGTGTGGAGGGGAGGGGGCAGGGGGCAGTGTGGAGGGGAGGGGTGCAGTGTGGAGGGGGCAGGGGGCAGTGTGGAGGGGAGGGGGCAGGGGGCAGTGTGGAGGGGAGGGGGCAGGGGGCAGTGTGGAGGGGGAAGGGGGCAGTGTGGAGGGGGCAGGGGGCAGTGTGGAGGGGGCAGGGGGCAGTGTGGAGGGGGCAGGGGGCAGTGTGGAGGGGAGGGGGCAGGGGGCAGTGTGGAGGGGAGGGGGCAGGGGGCAGTGTGGAGGGGAGGGGGCAGGGGGCAGTGTGGAGGGGGCAGGGGTGCAGTGTGGAGGGGAGGCAGCAGGGGGCAGTGTGGAGGGGGCAGGGGGCAGTGTGGAGGGGAGGGGGCAGGGGTGCAGTGTGGAGGGGAGGCAGCAGGGGGCAGTGTGGAGGGGAGGGGGCAGGGGTGCAGTGTGGAGGGGAGGGGGCAGGGGGCAGTGTGGAGGGGACAGGAGCACGGGGTCGCAGGGACTGGAACACTGGCTAGGAGGGGCAGGGGTGGTGAGGAGGGGAGCAGTGGCTTTGATTCCAGCTGATTGGGGTGGTGCCCCTCCTGACACCCCCCTGCAGGACCCAGCTGGGGTGGCAGAGCCAGCGTCCCCCAGCACTGAGACCTAATGCAGGAGGGAGGCAGCGCCCGCTTGGCCCTGCCCTGAGGTCTGCTACTTCTCCACCCAGGGGCCTTCAGACACGTGTGCATGCATATGTCCTGTGTGCATGTGTGTATTGTGCGTGCATGTTTACATACATGCACACACACACATGCGTGCATGTGTGTGTACTGTGTGCATGTGCATATGCATGCATTGTGTATTGTGTTCATTGTGTGTGCATGTGCATATTATGGTGTGTGTGTGTGTCATCTAGCCGGTGCTTGAGAGCAGCCCTTCAGTGTGGCAGGAGGGGCTCCACAAATTGTAATCAGATTAAGGGGACCAATCACTTAGGGCTCTTGAAAAGGCCCCAAGGTTTCTAATCAGCTGTGAGGGGGGCGGTGGGTAGTTTTTTTTCCCTCTCTGTCTTTGGTCATTATGTCAATTTGCTAGCCAAATTGTTTGCTTGAGTGGGGGGGGGGGGCGCTTGTGCCCCATTCATGTGATAAGTGGGAACCAGCAGGACTCCTGGCTGGGAAAATAGAAGGGGGAGGCCTGGGGGGGGCAGGGGGCCTGGGGGGAGTCCTAGGGGGCTTTATGCGGGGTGCTGGGGACCTTGTGTGTGCTAGGTGAGCACTCTACCTCTGTGCAGCTTTTATTTGTGTTCCAGAAATCTCCAGCCTAGATGGTTCTCTGGAAGGTCCCTTGAGAGGAAGGGTGTGGAGAGAGAGAGGCGGGGCTGGGCAGAAGAGACATCCCCAGAGGTGCTAGGGAAACGAAGTCCCAGAGGGGGAGACAAGCTGCGCTTTCCTGGGTCTTTCTGTGGGGGCTGTCACCCCAGGGCAGCTGACATGGGGCGTGTCATAAGGAAGAACTGAGGCTCAGAGAAGCCCAGGCTTTCCCCAGGCCACACACTTGTAGTGAAGCAGCAGAGATTTGAACTCTGCTGTCTCATCCTTCCCTAACCACATGGGTTCCTTTCTTTCTTCAACTCAACCAAAAAACAGGAAGTACCGCCCTCCTAGTCCTGGTCCCAGGATCCTATGGGGAGCTCATGGATGATGATGATAATAGATGATGGTTTTCTTAATATGATTAGTAGGGCTCGTGTGTGTGTGTGTGTGT